GGAGGGGGGATCGGGATGGGGAACACATGTAAATCCATGGCTGATTCATGTCAATGTATGACAAAAACCACTACAATATTGTAAAGTAATTAGCCTCCAACTAATAAAAATAAATGAAAAAATAAAAATCAAAATAAAATAAATAAAACAGGCAAAAAGAATAAAATAAAATAAAATAAAATTCTCTGGATTTTGTATAACTATAATCAAAGAGAGATTATCCCTTTTTGCTTCTTCCCATACATAGATTCACACTGTAGCAATTACTTCATGTTATAAATGTGAATTTCTCTAAATTTTTAGCCATAGAAGTTTTGCTGGAGGCTTGATTACACATTAGTAACTTCAAGAGACAACAGTCCTATAAATGAGACAGGATATTAGTAACAAAAATTGTAATATTGATGATGACATAGTTCAGCAGAGGCACAAAGCATGATTTGAAAAGAACTTAAAACAATGATTAGTGTAAGTCATTGTAATCCAGTTGCAATAATCACTTGACCCAAGGAGCCATAACTGATTTAATGAGTTGTTTGCAATTCTACTGTTCTGGCTGTGCACATTTATCCCTGGCTTTATCTTTGAGACAATTGTATGTTACTGGCAGTATCAAACAGCAAGAGGAAAAGAGATGTTTCAATTTTACTCATAAAAAATATAACATACCAAGTTACTCTACAGGGCTTCCCTGGTGACTCAGAGAGTAAAGAATCCTCCTGTCAATGCTGGAGATGCTTGAGACATGAGTTCGATCCCTAGGTTAGGAAGACCCTGGAGAAGGGAACGGCAACCCACTCCTGTATTCTTCCCTGGAGAATCCCATGGACAGAGGAACCAGGTGGGCTACAGTCCACAGGGTCACAAGGAGTTGGACAGGACTGAGTGACTAAACATGCACTCTACCAAGTTACTGTAAGTCATAGTTAAAGGAGAACAATTTTCTTATATCTGGAAAACACAGATTTAAACTAGTAATGTTTTTGATAGGAAGCATAAAAATTATAATCATATTTACTAGTTCACTCACTCCTATGTAACTAATTCTTTATGTTAACAGCTTTATGAAGCCTTCAGGTTTCCCATTAGAATTCTTTAATAATTTCTTTACTCAGTTCAGCATTATGGTCTTAAAGTAGAAAACTTGTGTTATCCAAAAGACTTTTTAAAAAAATCATACAAATTTATGTATTTTAATTGGAGGCTAATTAGTTTACAATATTGTAGTGGTTTTGCCATACATTGACATGAATCTGCCACAGGTGTACATGCGTTCCCCATCTTGAATCCCCCTCGCATCTCCCTCCCAATCCCATCCCTCTGGGTCATCCCAGTGACTTTTCTGTAAATCGTCTTGAAGAGGAGGCATTTTTGCCATAACATCAAAATGAAACCATAAGTATCTATAATGACAAAAACCTTAAGAAGGCAAGTTTAAATCTGATTACAATGCAGTTGACAAAGCAACCTGGTTAGTGCTGTGATATACATTTTCAGATAATAAATAGAATTATGACTAATAATATTCTACCAAGACATCCCAGGTTTTTAGGAACTCTATATAATCTCTACAATATCTGTATCATTTACAATGTAACTTAACATTTATTACTAATCTGACATCTCCCATGTAGTTTAACATACAAAGTGAAGCTAATCAGCTTAACATCTTCCACAGGGAGTGTTTTAGGGATTCTTTGAAACATCCTCAAGTTAGATAGAGGTATTTTGATTTGAGAAGTTTTATCAAAAGAGCTTTTAGGAAAAATAAACTTTTAAAGCACAATAGAATGACATGTGACTGTGAAAAATAGTTATTTACTTAGGCAAAGTGACAATAANTGCCATTGCCTTCTCCAAATGTGACAATAAAAGATTTCAAAGGCAAATACCAAACAGATCACTTAAAAGATAAACAGACTTAAAATCTGTTATCAAAGACAACATAACACCTTCAGAAAACTTGAGATTGTGAAAAAGAGAGAAAAGCCAAATTTTTATTTTGCTTTAGCTGAGTTTAAAGATTCATTGACTCAAAGAAAATTGTTTTAAATGTAGCTATTCTTGATTGATTATGTGCAAAACTCTTTTTGGGATCCATTTTCCACTGAATGAAAATGATGAAACTATTCATCACTCAATTTATTTTAGCACAAATTTAACTTTTAAGTTGTAAAACATCTGGATAGATCCCAAAAGACATAATTCTTTCTAAAAGTTCACTGAAAACTCTTATCTCATTTGCACTCACTCCTTAAAAAGTTTTTTCACATCAAGGACTTTCCTTGCTAACAAATTTGTAACAGACATAGTAAGATGTTATTTAGCTTAGGGGCTTTCCTGGTGGCTCAGATTGTAAAGCATCTGTCTGCGATGTGGTAGACCCAAGTTCCATCCCTGGGTTGGGAAGATCCCCTGCAGAAGGGCATGTCAACCCACTCCAGTACTCTTGTCTGGAAAATTACATGGACAGAGGAGCCTGGTTGGCTACAGTCCATGGAGTTGCAAAGAGTTGGACACGACTCAGCAGCTTCACTTTCAAACCTAGGCACAAGGAAAGTATTATACTTAATGGTATGTATAATGAGGTATTTAGGCAAGGAATATGACTTTAATCAGAAAGTCGGCTGACACATAAATGGCAGACTAATGTCTTGAAATAACCATCTTGTTGCGGTGTGGATGCAAGGTTCTTAAATAGAACCAGAAAGAGAAGTGGTGAGGATCTAAAGTCAAAAGGCAGAATAGAGAGGGAGAGGCAGTGAGGAAAGAGTGTACAAAGGGTCTTAAATCTTGCAAAACATCTATGGGAAGTGAAGTGAAGTGAGAGTCACTCAGTTGTGTCCGACTCTTTGGGACCCCATGGACTATACAGTCCATGACACACTCGAGGCCAGAATACTGGAGTGGGTAGATTTCCTTTCTCCAGGGGATCTTCCCAACCCAGGCATCGAACCCAGATCTCCCACACTGTAGGCGGATTCTTTACCAGCTGAGCTACCAGGGAGGCCCATCTATGGGAAGAGCCAGCTTTTGAAGGGGTGTGTTCATCTCTTCTAGCTCTTCTTTTCACAGGTGGAAGGATCAGATCAGCTCTTTACGAACACATCAAAGGCATTTTAGCTTACATTCAGGCAGAGGGGAAGTGTCCTTTGAGACAGGTGATTATGTATGATGATGATAATAACAGCAAAGGCAAGCAAATCAATGAAGCAGCTACAACCTGTAGTCACAACTGGTTCTTCTTTGCAACCGTTGTGAGGTGACACCTTTTACCTGGTCATTGAAGATGAATCAGGCTGTCTAACAGACTACAGTGCAAAGGAAGACACTTCACAGAGAATTATGCAGTCACATCCATCACGGGGAGGGTGAGAAATCCTGGATGACATGAGTTAACCTGCTGCTCGGACCCAGCACCTGGGCTCTGCGACTGTTTGTCCTGAGAACTGTGATGTGAGGGAAACAGCCATCGACGTTCAGTTAGACAGACAGAAATGTACAAAGATGGAAGGAAGACATGCACACTGTTCTCTAGGGAGTCTCCATCAAGAAGCAGATGACCCAGAGTAGGGATTCCTCTGAAATAGTTATCCAGGTTGTACATTTCAGCATAGCTTCCAAGGGTGCCCCATTAGTGTGAGTCAGGAAAGATTTATCATTTTCCCACTCAATGTCTGGGAAATGCTCTGAGGTGCACACAGCCCAAGCAAACAACAGATAAACAGCAATGGTTAAGAAATATCAGTCCTTCAGCTCAATCAGAAGTGTTGGTGCTGTCAGAATAGGCATTTACCCTGAATTATAGCCCGTGGCATCTGACACTTTCTCTCTGTGAAGCTCTGTGGGGCCAACACAAGTTCTTTTCCCTGTAATGCCCTGTAATGAATAAGGTGCTTTCTAGGGACTTTTTCTTGATGAGACACACCACTCCCAGTACAGTAAGAGGATCCTGTCTCCAGTCCCATGATAGTTTAGTCCTTTCTCTTCCTCTCACGTGAGGACACGTGAGGGCATTGCTGTCGAATCCTCATCATAATTGTCTCTGATGAACACATGTCCTAAAAAAGACACAGTTTCCTGGACAATTAACGTGGACATTTGTGTGTTTTAAATTAGGTGACTTTTGCATAGACACACAAGTGCAGGGCAAAAATTAAAGCAGTCTATTTAAACCCCCAGAAATCAAACACCACCAGACAGGACGTGATTTAGTGACAAGGAGAGATGAGATGGGAGAGGGAGTGTGAGTGTGAAGAGAGAAGGATCATGTTCATCATGTACCAAGAAGGTCGTCTTCATGTTGTTGACATAGACTCCATAGAGATGAGGACGTGTCTCGTCTCAGGGACTGCTCCTGTAGGTGAATAAAACAGGACCAAATGTTTAGTCGAGTCGACTGTGTGACAGCTGACAGGGGTGAGTCTCAGGCAGTAGGCTGTCCAGGGTACAGAAGCTGGTAGGAGATCCAGTGTTAGAATCCTGGTGGGCCTCAACGCTCCACATCTCAGTGATGTAGGTGGGAGTCCTTGTGGAATTTTCCCCAGGATGTACATGTGGGGAAACTTTCCCACTGGGGATTGATTCTAGGAGTAATGGTTTTGGAATGCATGTTCATTGGAATGGTTCATCTAAAGATGGTTTAAATTCTCTGTTTTAAAGTTTGTATTTTCTGAATTAGTCTCTTCTCTTAATTCCAAAAGGTTTGTCTTTTGGGTTTTCAAGAGTTAACTGTTTAACTTTAATTTTATTTTGAAGTAGAGTTGATTAACAATGTTGTATTGGTTTTAAGTGTATAGCAAAGTGATTGATTTATACATACAGATATGAATATCTGGGTTTTTTTAGGTTCTTTTCCTGTTTAGGTTTTTACAGTGTTGCGTATAGTTTCCTGCATTTTACAGGAATATCTTTTTGTCTATCCTTCCTGTGTATCATATTTTGCATCTGCTAATCTCAAACTCCTAACCCTTCTCTTAGCTAATTTCCTCCCCCTTTGCAACCACAGGTTTGTTCTCTATGTCTGTGAGTGTGTTTCTGTTTTGAAAATAACCTCCTCCAAGTCTTAGTTTAGATTCCACATATAAGTGATATGTATTATTTTTGTCTTTGTCTTTGTGGCTTATATCATTTAGTATGACAGTCTCTAGGCCCATGCACGTAGCTGCAAATGCCATGATCTCATTCATTTTTATGGCTGAGTAACAATCCATTGAATGTTTTCAGCATGTCTTTTTTTTTTTAATCATATTCACCTGCAAGCTGGTGTTTTTCTTTGCCTCTTTTCTTTCATTTTTTTCTCAATAGAAAAGTAAAGCCACACCTTAGCCTAGATCAGTGTTATTTTCTGAGGCTGTTTTACTTTAGAAAGCTTAAAGATTCCACTAAAAGAAATCACCTTGTGAAGGGGAATATAATTAAAATGCTTATTTCAGACAGTGCAGTTGGAATGGCTTTACTGGTTTTGTCAGACTCATGTGAGATTAAAAACTAATCTTTCAGGAAAGGTGAACTGTCTTTAATCGTGGCTCTCCTTGAGAAGGGACGTGTATGGACAACCACGAGGTCAGGACTAACAGGAACACTAAGTTTCCACCAACTTGTAGTGATTCCTGCTTCTCTCTGATGAGTCTGGTATGCGAGATTCCTCCAGGTTGACATGCTTGCACTAAAGATGCTCAGCATTAATCAACCAACCAGTTTGCAACTTAATACGGCTCCAGACAAGAGAGATTACCTAATGTAACAAAGTTCTCTAGTGACAGAATGTAAGTTATTGGGGCAAAAAATTACCTGCAAAATTTGGCATGTATGAATTTGGCAGTAGTGGCAAAGAACCAACCTGCCCACGCAGGAGATGTAAGAGACGTTAGTTCACTCCCTGGGTCAGGAAGATCTCTTGGAGAAGGAAATGGCAACCCATTCTAACATTGTTGCCTGGAGAATCCCATGGACAGAGGCGCCTATCGGGCCAAAGTGCATGGGGTTGCTGAGAGTCAGACAGGACTGGAGAGACTTGTTGGACATTAAGAATGAAATAACAGTGTGTCCTTTTTTACTTATTTGGTGGGGCAGCATTAATAATGGACCATGTTTACTTACAAAAGTGTCTGTATCCATGTCACTTTTGTTCACTCCTCTGGACAGTCATCTGTGGAAAAACAAGATGGGAGAAATAAAAGAGCCACCAATTACTACCATTCCACAGTATTTCTACAGTTTCTTTCTATCTTTCTTTTTTTTAAGTAATGTATTTTATAAGAGATTAATTTTGGGAGAAGAAATTTTAAATAAGTTGATTTTTCATGATATTTACATATTTACAATTTACAGGTGAATGATATAGTCAGAAAAAATATATAATTTCATTACCATTATCGATGAAATTCACAATATTTTCTTCTGGAATCCCTTTGTCTCTTGTCTCCTCTTTGAACCTCTCAAAGTCACTGTCTGAAATCTCATCATCTGTGCCTGTTAATCAGTGTACAAAAAAGGACAGTGTTGTCTCTTAGAACCCACAGAAATGTCTGAATATACACAATAAGAAATTGAATGTGTCAATCAGATCCTCACTTGTATGATTTAAGACAGCCTCAAACAGTTTCCATGTTCCATGACACAGACATCTGCCATCCTAAGAATTAATTTCCATCCAATTCTGTAATTAAACCTCTGCCTCTGTCAGCAGGAGGAACCCAGAGACTTGTAGTTGCTCCATGAATTTGGGACTCAACCCATCCCAGTAGGCAACTGACTTGCTTCTTCATCAACTTCCCACAACCTGTATCTGACACTCCTGTCTTGTTCTGGACCCAAATTATTAGGAAACAGGGTTCCCCCCTTACAGGGACCTGTTTACCCCATCACATACCATGTGGGAGACAATTTAGCCTTTAACCCATTATTCCACCCAATTGTTTTTCTGAAATAGATATCTACTGTCTCAACAGCACACACCTCAGTGCTTCTATGAGGTCATTTGGGGTCATGTCACTGTTCATAGGAACAATGCATTGTGATAACAAAATAGGATGAAGATTTACATGTTTTTGTTCCAAGGGTTAGAATATATGGGAAAACTGGTATAAAATGACATCATTCAGGTCAGCCTCATTATAGCCATGGCTTGAGATTAGTTGATATATTAAAAAAAAAAAAACTGTAAATTTCAGTTCAGTTCAGTTCAGTCTCTCAGTCATGCCTCTTGTGTGACCCCATGAACCGCAGCATGCCAGTCTTCCCTGTCCATCACCAACTCCTGGAGTTCACACAAACTCATGTCCATTGAGTCAGTGATGCCATCCAACACCACTGTTTCCATTGTTTCCCCATCTATTTGCCATGAAGTGATGAGACCGGATGCCATGATCTTAGTTTTCTGAATGTTGAGCTTTAAGTCAAAATTTTCACTTTCCTCTTTCTGTAAAATCACTGTAAAAGTAATTTTTTTTTTTAATTTGAACAGGTGGAGATTATTTTCAAATGCTTGAAAATTATTTTTAGCCCCTGTTTCTTGGTGGATTACCTTCCAGTAGTATCCTTAGCTCAGTGAACATAAATATGGAGATCTTGTAGACTGAATAGTGAATATTGTCAACACCTCCTGGTTTTCTGAATGAAACTACTGACAGTGGACATGTTGCATGACAATGGCAATGGGATATTAGGATGCCAAGTGAAGTGTGAAAGTCACCCAGTCGTGTCTGACTCTTTGTGAACCCATGGACTATATGGTCCATGGAATTCTCTAGGCCAGAATACTGGAGTGGGTAGCCTTTCCCTTCTCCAGGGGATCTTCCCAACCCAGGGGTTGAACCCAGCTCTCCTGCATAGCAAGTGGATTCACTATCAGCTGAGCCACAAGGGATGCCTCATACCAATTATTCCAATTAAATCTGTCTCGTTTCCTTCTTCATCCACGTTGATGACATATCCTATTACAGAGTTATGGGACACATGAAGAGGTCGACCTTCATTCTGACCCGCATCTGTGAGAGAGAAAAGATACATATATACAACCCAGTGTTCATTTGTTTTCAGTGAGATGTGGTGCGACAGAGTTAGGGCATTAAGAAAGGTCTGTGCTGTACTGATTTGTGTCTGACTGCATGGGTACACTGATTCTACCGTGGTTATGGCAGCAAGGAAAGCAGGCCAGACTTTCCCTCATTCCCACGTTTTCCTGGTTAACCAGTCACTCCTTGCTGTCTTACTTAGATGCTTTCTAGAACCTGTGTCCTAAGGAACCCAAGCAATGTACTTTTAGTTTACTTCATGTTTTAATTAATTTTTGGTTACTCTGAGTCTTCATCACTGTCTGCAGTCTTTCTCTACTTGTGTGGACTCTGGGGCCACTCTCTAGCTGTGGTCCAGGGACTGCTCACTGCAGCCACTTCTGTCTCTTGGAGCACAGACTCTGGGCTGCGTGGGCTCAGTAGCCATAGCCTGTGGGCTCTTGAGTGCCGGCTCAGTAGTTGTGTCTCACGAGCTTAGTTTCTCCACAGCATGTGGGGTCTTCCAGAACCAGGGATTGAACCTATGTTCAATTCTTACCCACTTGATCACCAGGGAAGCCCCTTACAGTGTTTTCAACAGTGGGAGCCTCTTTTTCAAACCTCAATTCAAAACTTGTTTGTATTTCTGTTAACCCAGCCGTGGAGTTGATCTCTCTTGACCAAAGTGAACTTACCATTCACAAGCTTGCGTTCCTGAGAGCCGAGCTCGTGCCAGGCAATGTTTGAACACTTTATGTTAATTACTGTGTTTTCACTGTCCCTCAGTCTGGGTTATGACAATGAGCCACGGCCACAGACATTGCTGTGAAGACAGCTTACCTACTGGGACATGCAGGCAGTGAGCATCTCATGGGGAGCTCCCACGCCACCTGGAGGGCTGGCCGTCCCCTCTGCCCTGCCTGACCACTCTGCCCCTTGCGTCTGGACAAGAAGGAACTCTGACCCACTGTATGTCACATCTAAATCCTCTATATCCGTTCTCTCTCTCCTGGCTTCCATCACACTCGATTGGAATCACTCAGCAAGATGGGGCGTAAAACCAACCAGCTGTGTTTCTGAAACATGGACACACTACTTACTGCTCATTGTTTGAAACACTGAAAATTCTTAGTGTGCTTGAAAAAAAAGAAGCCAAAGCAGTTTCCCATCTCATAGTCCCAAGAAGCGTACTCAACTTTCCTAAGGCCACAGTGAGTCCAGGAAACTTGGGTCACACTGGGAAATTTTCAGTTATGTACAGATGTGACAGTTGGACCATAAAGAAGCCTGCATGCCAAAGGATTGATGTTTTCAAACTGTGGTCCTACAGAAGATTCTTGAGCATTCCCGGAGAGCAAGGAGATCAAACCCATCAATCCTAGAGGAAATCAACCCTGAATATTCATTGGAAGGACCGATGCTGAAGTTGAAGCTCCAATCATTTGGCCACTTGATGCAAAGCCCCAGCTCATTGGAAAAGACTGTGATGCTGGGAAAGATTGAGGGCAGGAGGATAAGGGGGCGACAGACGATGAGCTGGTTGGATGGCATCACCAACTCAATGGACATGAATTTGAGCAAACTCCAGGACATAGTAAAGGACAGGAAGGCCTGGAGTGCTGCCATCCATGGCATTGCAGACAGTCAGACATGATGAAGCAACTTAGCAACAAACACAAATTCAGGTCCTCAGATTATCAGTGACTCCCTGTGCTTAAGCATGACATCACAAACGTGATCACTGCAGCATCACTGAATTCTCTGTGAAGGCAATGTAGGCAATAGGACGGTGAGAATAATTTTACCTTCCGGATGTCAGGTCTCTATCAAGGCCACTGATCGTGCTATGCTTGAGGTGGGTACACCTCACAGCACCTAAAACAAAGCTAGGGAACGGCACTTGCAAGAGACCTTAAAGGTCTGCTCTTCTCTCTCCCATCTTTAGTCACTCTGTAAGAAACCCGGCTAAAAGGGATTACAAGAGTGGAGAAAAATAAAGAGAGTGGAGGCATTCATGTTTCAGCCAAAGGAAAAAATAATACAGGAATAAGAAAATGAAAGCATCCTTAAAAATAAAAAAATAGAACATTAGAAGTTATGGAAGAAAGGGTGGCAAAATGTTTCAGGCATAAATTTTACTTCTTTGCGCTCATAGCCACTGTGCCACTGGTCAGTTTAGGCAGGGTTGCGATCACATCAGTTCAGTTCAGTCGTTCAGTCGTGTCTGACGTTGCAATCACATAGTCATGTTTTTAAATGTTAATCAAATGTGGATCTCTTGCATGTGACGTCTCTTCGGTCGTGTCCAGCTCTTTGTGACGCTGTGGACTGTAGCCCTCCAGGCTCCTCTGTCCAAGGAATTCTCCAGGCAAGATTACTGGAGTGAGTTGCCATGCCCTCCTCCGGGGAATCTTCCCAACCTGGGGATCAAAGCCGTATCTCTTCTGTCTCTTGCGTTGTCAGCTAGGTGGTTTACCACTAGCGCCACCTGGGAAGCCTGTACCTCTTAGGCCATTAATGTACCTCAAGGGCCATTTAAAATCAAGAATGATGTTTAGAGTCCTCATAAAGAACTTAGGAATGTCAATGCTAGCCAGCATTCCCATTGCTTTGAACAGAAGCCGATGTTATGATTGAAGTCAGGATGATTTTGTTGGATTTAAATTCTTCCATTGTAATTGTAAGGATTAGGATCTTTTATGATTGTTTTTAAAAAGTAAATGACACTGATGTGCAAACTCAAGATAAACCCTTGAGATGCCATTGCATAGACTGTTGTGAATTATCTGTGAGAACCCTATGGAATACGAATTCTACACCTGTGCTTAGATTCCTTTTGGTCACTCAGTTGCTAAATCATGTCCGAATCTTTGCAACTCCATGGACACTAGCACACCAGGCGCCTCTGTCCTTCACTATCTCCCAGAGTTTGTCAAATTCATGTCTTTTGATATGGTGATGCTGTCTATCCATCTCATCCTCTATTGCCCTCTTTCTCCTTTTGCCTTCAATCTTTCCCAGCATCAGGGTCTTTTACACTGAATGGACTCTTCCAATGAGGTGGTCAAAGCATTGGAGCTTCAGCATCAGTCCTTCCAATGAATATTTAGCATTGATTTCCTTTAGGATTGGTTGGTTTGGTCTCCTTGAAGTCCAAGGGACTCTCAAGAGTTTTCTCCAACACCACAGTTCGAAAGCATCAATTCTTTGGTGCTCAGCCTTCTTTATGGAGCAACTCACTTCTGTTCATGACTACAGGAAAAACCATCACCACTTTGACGATACAGACCTTTGTTGGCAAAGTGATGTCTGTGCCTTTTAATACACTGTCTAGAATTGTCATTGCTTGTCTTCCAAGGAGCAAGTGTCTTTTAACTTCATGGCTGCAGTCAGTGTCTGCAATGATTTTTGAGCCCAAGAAAATGAAAACTGTCACTGCTTACACTTTTTCTATTTGTCATGAAGTAATAGTACTGGATGACACCACCCTCATGGCAGAAAGTGAAGAAGAACTAAAGAGCCTCTTGATGAAAGTGAAAGAGGAGAGTGAAAAAGTTGGCTTAAAGCTCAATATTCAGAAAACTAAGATCATGGCATCCAGTCCCATCACTTCATGGCAAATAGATGGGGAAACAGTGGAAATAGTAGCTGACTTTATTTTGGGGGGCTCCAAAATCACTGCAGATGGTGATTTCAACCATGAAATTAAAAGACACTTACTCCTTGGAAGTTGTGACCAACCTAGACAGCATATTGAAAAGTAGAGACATTATTTTGTCAACAAAGGTCCATCTAGTCAATTTTTTCCCAGTAGTCATGTGTGGATGTGAGAATTGGACTGTAAAGAAAGCTGAGTGCCAAGGAATGGATACTTTTGAACTGTTGTATTGGAGAAAACTCTTGAGAATCCCTTGGACTGCAAGGAGATCCAAACAGTCCATCCTAAAGGATCAGTCCTGAGTGTTTATTGGAAGAACTGATTCAACATCAGTTCTTCCAATACTTTGGCCACCTCATGCGAAGGCCACCTCACCCTGATGCTGGGAGGGATTGGGGGCAGGAGGAGAAGGGGACGACAGAGGATGAGATGGCTGGATGGCATCACTGATTCAATGGACATGAGTTTAGGTTGACTCGGGGAGTTGGTGATGGACAGGGAGGCCTGGCGTGCTGTGGTTCATGGGGTCGCAAAGAGTCGGACATGACTGAGTGACTGAACTGAAGTGATCTGCACTGGGTTTTCTTTGCTTTCAGCTTCCACCATGGGAGCTTTCACCGAGTTGGGCTTCTGCTGTGTTTGGTCTCTGCATTATGGGGGCCAAACTGAGGTTGTTTCAGCCAGGTTAAATCTAAGAAATGGCACCATAGATTTCAAGGGAGTTGGTAATTTCCTTGGTTCTGTCTCACTTCAGCAAAAATTTGAAGTGATGCATGGATCAGTGTTACAGCTCAGTTTTATTTAGCAAGCAAAGGAAAATACATCCTGGAGGCATGAGGGCAGGCTGACCCAAAAGACACAAAGAGAAGAGAAGCCTTGCGGCTCAATTTTGACTCNCTAGTAGTTCCAAAGATAAACTTCAAATGCAAAACCCGTCATGTGGAAAGCCAATACCTTGGAGAAATCTAGAATTTTAGGGAAAACAAAAACAAGAAAATGAACAACTCTTTCTTGGGTATAGTTTCTGAAAACTGAGAGGCATAGCCATCATCTCAGGCCTTGGGGCTTCTCAAAACCCTGGCAGTGATTCATTAGAGAATACGAGAGTCAAATATCACAAAAAGTCAGAGGAAAGATGGTTACCTTTCTCAAAACACACACTCTTCTTTCATCGCAATTCCAGAAGAGGATTAAACATCGAAAGACACATGTATGTATACATGCACATGACACATATACACACATGATCAAACATGCAAGAACACAGGTGTACTTACATAATATGCTTGCATGACATAAGGAAATTTTATATATATATATATAAATAATACATGATAAATGTATATTTTCACCGATACAACAGAAAAGTTTGG